CCACCTAAATCGGAGATGACAGAATTACTGAAAAAATAGGCATGTTTCATCCCAAAAAAATATATTTTAAAATCCACTATATTATAATAAAATGATGATGGTCAATGGTGGCTATGAAAATAAATGGACCTTCATTGACTCTAGACCTTCTCTGTTGTAAGCAAAAACACAAAAAAAAAAAAAAAAAACTCAGCATATAAAAACACCAGGATTTGTTTTGAATTATCTGGTTTGAATGCCAAACATATCTACTGACTATGCATTTATAGAGATTTACAAGTAACTGATTTTCGTATGTATATGAGAAATAAAATGATCTACAACAGCTACTGAAGACATTTTGAATATGTTAAGGATTAATAAGAATTTTCTGCAGAATTTTTTGCTGCTGCACAATATAAGGATACACCAACACTGCTTACATATTAGTTCTCCTACAGGAAGGTCCATTGGTACCCAGTGTGTCAGAGTCACCAACTCACGATCAAAATATAAACGGGTGGGGCTACTTTCATCTCTAAAATATCCATTCTCACTCTATTTCTACTTACCCTTCACTTTAAATTATTTTTTTGTTTGTTCCTCCCAACATATATGATTTTTTAACACCATCCCACCTTCCATTACAAACCCCAACACTCTGGCCTTAAACCACTCCTTTGCAATCACGATTGTCTAATCCAACATATGAAAAATAGGATAATAGTTTAATATTGACTAAACCAATCAAGTTAATAAATCAATCATAGTCTTTAACCACTCCTTTGCAATCTCAATTGTCCTTGTTTTCGACCACGTAACCGCAATATAAACCCTCAAATCTTATAGTTCACTCATCATATTTCGCTTAAAGTTTTCACCATTTGATAATCAACATCATGCAAATTTTATTTCACTGCCACGTTATTGTCAACTAGGTGGTGACAATGTTGGATGCGGGGTGGTATAGATCTAATGGCACTGGCGGGTTTGATTGCGTAGGTGGNTTTCTAAATAGCATGTAAAGTAAGAGGGGAAAAGGTTCGCAGACCCACTCACGGAGATTTGGATCAAAATTATCTTCCTGTTTGCTTTATTTTGCCTCTCGGTGTGGTTCATAAAATGGCTTTGTAGCTAAGAGTCAGAGAGAACCAAAAGACTTAATGNCCTCTCGGTGTGGTTCATAAAATGGCTTTGTAGCTAAGAGTCAGAGAGAACCAAAAGACTTAATGTGAAATCTGAAAATAAAAGATGTAGATAACCATATCCATTATAGAAGTGTCTAAATGATGGTTAACAATTTCAGTATCTAAATGTCCTAATTATATTGTTAAGGGGTCAAAATAGGAAAAAAAAATTCACAAATGTTGATATTTTAAAGTAGTTTTTAAAGTAGCATAGATATTTTTAAAGTGGTAAGATAGATAGATTATAAAATTAATAGGGATAAAATTTATAAAATTTATTTTGCTTATTATACTTTTATTAGTAGTATAGATAAAATAAGGTTAGACAAGGAAAATAATTAAATTAATAAATAGTTAATAATTAAACTTAAATATTAAGTTAAAATGAATATAATTAAATGTTAAATTTACACACTTAATTAATTTAAGAAGATGAAAAGATATGAGAATATTATGTAATTAATTAAAGAAAATGAAAATAAATGAGAGGATATAATTGACTTTATAATAGTGATTAAGGACAAAATAGTCAAACAAAAATTTTACGCTTCTGTTGACATTTTAAAGTAGTATATATATATATATATATATTTTAAAGTTTTACACTTTTGTCTTGACCTTTTTGTGATTCAAATCGTTTGAGAATTATTGATTTGATAATCTTAATTAGACTTTTATTCTTTTTACAACTCTAAATCTCTCGTCTCTCATATAACTATTTTTCTTTCTATCTCATACACCTAACTATCTTTCTTTCTCTTCATCTCGTATCTCTTTTAAATACACACATTCACTATATATATATATATATATATATATATATATATATATAGTGAGTGTGTATATATATATATCCTATTTCTTAGACGTTTTAAACACACTCTCTCATCTCTCATATAACTCTATCTCTCTCTGTCTCATTCATTCATTTTTGTGAGTGAATGTTATGTGTTAAATGTGTATTATTATTTTCAGTGTTTTTTTATTCAAAGTATGATTTTATAGATGAGAAAATATTTAAATGTTAAAAAAAATAATTTCCAGGTTGTAGACTTTCAAAATCAAACTAATCATAAAAACAAAAAAATTTAAAACCAAAGCTAATCACCAATAAAAAAATAAAAAGTGATACAAATTACACCCAAAAAAAAAAAAAATTCAAAGCCAACCAATAAAAAAATAAGTGAAACCAATTGCACCAAAAAAAAAAATTCAAAACCAACTATAAAAATTTGGATTAATTGCACTGGAGATCCCTAAAATATGGAGTTTGTTTCATTTTGGTCCACAATGTTTCAATTGCATCATTTTGATCCCTGAAGTATTGAATATGTTTCTATATAGTCCCTCAAACAGACAGTGTGCAGATTGCTAACAATTTTTTATCATAATCTTGTCATGTGATACTTAAATATGAACAAAAAAGATATTTAAATAACTCTTAACTAAATTTTTATTCAAATTTTGGTTAAATAATTACTTAAATTACATAGTTTTGATCATAAAATATCCAAATTTTGGTCAAAAACTATCTATATTACACATTTTTTGGTCAAGAGCTATCCAAATTTTATTTAAGAGTTATAAAAATTATTTTGGTGTAAAAAGACTATTAGGCCTACTTACAAAAAAATATATAACATGTGTCCTTAATAATACAAAGAGATTTCACCTATCTTTATTGGTAAAAAAATTCCTCATATTATAACATGTGTCCTTAATGTATAACATGTGCCCTTAATAATACCGAAGTTGTCTTTTGCGAAGAACACAAACTTGTATTGGTACAAATTTTTTTTTATATTATTATTTTTTTTTGTTGAACATGTTATTATTATTTTTTTTCATGTTACTCCTTTTCTTTCGTGCTACAACTTTTTCATGTTACTAATATCTGTTGCTCACCTTCAGTCTAGGCTCGGTTAGAATGGCATCAGAAGTTCGTAATTACTTGCACAGAACATGGCCCGGCACACATTGGTTGGGCCCATCCCCTTCAGCTACTTGGCTCAGTTTCACTTTTTTGTTTTTATATAATTTTGGAATGGTGGCTCCCCCACCCAAATTATTTTCAGTTGATAAGGTGTAGGTAGGGACTGGATAACAGTAAATACCATGGGACATCCTTTGTACATAGCTTGAGGCACCAATTATTGTCACCAGCTAAAAATGTTAAAACTGCAAAAATATTGAGAAATAGTTGGCCATTAATGTTATTTAGATGTAATTTATTAGTTTAATTTATTGGGTTTATTGTAAATTTTAATATTAAATGAATTTTACTGTAAAAAAAATTAAATTAATAAATTAAGTCAGAATAGTCAAACCACTCAACCACCTAAATCGGAGATGACAGAATTACTGAAAAAATAGGCATGTTTCATCCCAAAAAAATATATTTTAAAATCCACTATATTATAATAAAATGATGATGGTCAATGGTGGCTATGAAAATAAATGGACCTTCATTGACTCTAGACCTTCTCTGTTGTAAGCAAAAAAAAAAAAAAAAAAAAAAAAAACTCAGCATATAAAAACACCAGGATTTGTTTTGAATTATCTGGTTTGAATGCCAAACATATCTACTGACTATGCATTTATAGAGATTTACAAGTAACTGATTTTCGTATGTATATGAGAAATAAAATGATCTACAACAGCTACTGAAGACATTTTGAATATGTTAAGGATTAATAAGAATTTTCTGCAGAATTTTTTGCTGCTGCACAATATAAGGATACACCAACACTGCTTACATATTAGTTCTCCTACAGGAAGGTCCATTGGTACCCAGTGTGTCAGAGTCACCAACTCACGATCAAAATATAAACGGGTGGGGCTACTTTCATCTCTAAAATATCCATTCTCACTCCATTTCTACTTACCCTTCACTTTAAATTATTTTTTTGTTTGTTCCTCCCAACATATATGATTTTTTAACACCATCCCACCTTCCATTACAAACCCCAACACTCTGGCCTTAAACCACTCCTTTGCAATCACGATTGTCTAATCCAACATATGAAAAATAGGATAATAGTTTAATATTGACTAAACCAATCAAGTTAATAAATCAATCATAGTCTTTAACCACTCCTTTGCAATCTCAATTGTCCTTGTTTTCGACCACGTAACCGCAATATAAACCCTCAAATCTTATAGTTCACTCATCATATTTCGCTTAAAGTTTTCACCATTTGATAATCAACATCATGCAAATTTTATTTCACTGCCACGTTATTGTCAACTAGGTGGTGACAATGTTGGATGCGGGGTGGTATAGATCTAATGGCACTGGCGGGTTTGATTGCGTAGGTGATGAATATAAATTTAAGATTGACTAGTCACTATAATAAATATAAAATGGAGTGAAAATAGTAAATGAAGTGATGATAGATATTTTAGAGGTGAGAATAGTCCCATTCAATATAAAATTGAATAATGCTACATGGAATTAAAAAATAGATTTGATAATCTCAACCATTGATTTCACTATGAGTCCCAGTGTTTATTGGGATCCACTATCTATTCAATAATTAAAATTATAATTATTAATTTTTAAATTTATCTAGCATTATTCTATAAAATCATCCGCCACCGTTGATTCATGGATCTATCAGGCAAGCTCTTAANAATAATTAAAATTATAATATTTAATTTTTAAATTTATCTAGCATTATTCTATAAAATCATCCGCCACCGTTGATTCATGGATCTATCAGGTAAGCTCTTAATCTAATGTACATCTTGTTGCAGTGGATACACAGTGCATTGCGTGGATCTATTGTTACCAAAAAAATATAGATGTGCATTGCATGGAGATCCCTGAATAAAGTGCTTGTCCCGTCGAAAGTTACTTTTTATTATTATCTTTATTTATTATTGTTGTTTGTCCTTGCAGAGTCAGTTGTTCTGTGCCTGCAATTGGTTAAAACATTGCTCAACCATCCCAACGAGAAAACGATAAAAATAATGTTAGAAAACGTTATCTTTGTAACATAGCTTGTTTTATATGGAAGATTATAATTGTGTAAAAGAACAGGAGGTTCTGTCTACAAATAGTGGAAAGACAATAAATTGGGTGTTCTGGGTTTTGTCAGAAATTTGGTACTAGTGATTGTATTTTCAATTTTGAACCATTTCTGGGTGCGTTTATTGATGGAATTGTAGTGCTTGAGAGAGAATATGGAAGAGGAAGGGAGTGAGGGGAGCAGTATTAGATTGGTGGGTAGTGGCTATGGTGGGGAGTCCAGATGGGTAGATGGGAGTGAGGTAGACTCAGAAACACCTCCATGGTCACTTAATGAGGATGCGGCTATAGAAGGATATGGATCTGTTAGGAGAAGGCTTGTCAAGAAGCCCAAAAGAGTTGATTCCTTTGATGTTGAAGCCATGACGATTGCCGGCTCTCATGACCACCACATTAAGGTAAGAATAGCATGTCTTTCTTGAAATTTAGCCATTCTTTTGGTTGAATCTGAAATTTTTTGAACTTTTTTATGTTGGAGGACCTTTGAGGCTCAGTAATATATGGGATTATGAATCCAAGAAACTGCTGTTTTGTTTGTTTGTATNAAATTTAGCCATTCTTTTGGTTGAATCTGAAATTTTTTGAACTTTTTTATGTTGGACCTTTGAGGCTCAGTAATATATGGGATTATGAATCCAAGAAACTGCTGTTTTGTTTGTTTGTATGTGTGTGTGTGTGTGTTTTAAGTACCTGATAGCAGTAAACAAGAGGGGTCCTGGGGGACCTAGAAAAATATGTTCTTTTTTATCGTTATGGTCTCAGAGGGGCATGTGATTTTTCGGTTTTTTTCGCTATAGGCATGTTTTTAAGGTTTTTGGGTTCTGGATTTTAGGTTTTCAATTGTCTAGGATTCGCAGAGGGAGTACTTAATTCCTGTTTTGCTTGATATAGAAAAGGATAATGAAAAGCAGCAAGAAGGATGAGAAATAGAGTTACGTTTATGTAGACTTTTATGGCCGTTAGAGCAATACTAGATGCACTATTTGTGTTTGCTTGATTTGCAATTAGCATCCAGGAAGTGCCACATGAGTCTGAAAATTTTCTATTAAATATGGGGATCATGAACCTCTTTTTTGTTTGTTAGCTAATCATGAATCTGCTATTGACTAAAGTCGATTGTTCTGTTTACGAAGTTGCAAATGGAGTTGGCCAAAGGTTTGGGGGAGCAAGACCGGGGGTTGGAATTTTTTCCAAGGATGGAGAGCGAGTTTAAGCATCTTTACTAGGAGTTTTTTTTAGGTTTTTAGAATCAAGACTTCGGTGGTTTATTAAAAGAAAAGGATTTTAGATATCCGTTCAAAGCCCAGGTTTTCAAATATTTGGTCCAACCCAGAACTTTAGGACGGAAAAGAAGGTCACAAAATCCATGTTGCAACACAAAGACATGATAGGAATGAAAAGATAGGAAACCTGAGATACAAGCTAAGGAAGAGACTAAAATTAAGATTTCTAATCTAGACCATTTAATGTCTTTTAAAAGCAAGTGTTTCTAAAGAATAAATTTGAAGCTTCCCTTGATGGTATCAAGTATTTCATGCAGTGAACTTGTGGCCATACTGATAAGTCAGCAAAATGCAGACAAATGCATTCTAAATCCTTGTGATCATCGGAAGTCTTTGTTTACTGGATTTTTTTATCACACACATCCTATAGCAATACCGTCATTCCATGGATCTCTTTCTTCTAGGAGAGAACAATTTACTTAGTTGTAATTCAAGCAGGCATTAACTCAGCTAGTTTCCTGGAACTCTTTATTCACCTTATTTATTTATTAAAGATTTTCTATAAGAGCTTATAGCATTGGAAGTATCTGAAGGGGTTTAGTTCAANAGTTTCCTGGAACTCTTTATTCACCTTATTTATTTATTAAAGATTTTCTATAAGAGCTTATAGCATTGGAAGTATCTGAAGGGGTTTAGAAACTTCTGGTTACTGTTGAACTAGAGGATGCAAAATGTAAAATGGTTTCTTGAAATATCAGTGTTCTCTTGATCTTATCTCAAAAGAACTTGTGTCAATTAAACATAACATCTTTTTCTTACTGAAATACATTACTAAACTAAATCAGGATACTTCAACTTGGCGAACTCTTGCATTGGCATTTCAAACACTCGGCGTGGTATATGGTGACATGGGCACAAGCCCTTTATATGTCTTTTCTGGTGTGTTCAGCAAGGTGTCCATCCAGTCAGACGTTGATGTCTTGGGGGCTTTATCTCTAGTAATGTACACTATTGCTATAATACCTTTAGCAAAGTACGTGTTTATAGTTCTCAAAGCTAACGATAATGGAGAAGGTACATACGTGGTTTCTGCTTCCAGATATTTAACTTTACATGTATCTTGTGATGGGCTTCTGGTGGGGCATAGTTTTTTTAACAAATCACTAACCCCATTCACAGGGGGAACATTTGCCTTGTATTCGCTTATCTGCAGGTATGCAAAAGTTAACCTTCTGCCAAACCGGCAACAGGCTGATGAACGTATCTCCAGTTTTAGGCTTAAATTGCCCACTCCAGAATTGGAAAGGGCTTTGAATATAAAGGAGACTTTGGAACACAAATCTTCTTTGAAAACCCTTATCTTGCTGTTGGTTCTGATGGGAACTTCCATGATTATAGGGGATGGTATTCTAACCCCGGCAATGTCAGGTATTTAAACTGAATCAGAGTTACGTTTGGCCTTACAGAAATTACTCAAATTTTTGTAACATGTGAGATACACTTGAGCTCCAAAGAGATGCGTTCGAAAGTTCTATCTGGCTGAAAGTGATCTATTCGCCAGCCACCAGATATTGAGCTTCAACGCCAGGGCAATGTGCGGCATAAAATGTTAAGTTGGGTTAATATAGAATGCTTGCAAATCCATTCTCCTCATTATCCTATCCTAATATGTGTTTTGTCATAAACTCAACATTGATGTTTAGATGAAATGAAACTGAACCTGCAATTGCATATATGGGACAGTATGTACTCAATGTTACTCTTCTACTTGTGTTTTAGTTATTTATAATTTTCAAAGGGATGCAAAACTGTTTTGTGTGAGAACTGTCATCACTTTTTATTCCTCTTCCTGATAAGTTTGCTGTCATGATCAAGTGACCTGCAACCCTCATAACAGGATAATGAAAGCCATTGTCACCTTTCTAATGTTGTATGTAACCCATGGAATGCTCTAGGTAATGGAATTTCAGAATTCTCCTCGAATTTTCATATCATCTCATTATATTACTTTTTGCGTGCAGTTATGTCTGCCGTGAGTGGTCTTCAGGGTGAAATACCGGGATTCAGTACTAGTAAGTATACTTGGTGCTTACAGATTCAGATATGAATTTTTCAGTTATTAAATTGTTGAAGTTAGCTGGGTGTCCATTAAATGTATAGTTGATTTACTTTCTTGACTGATGCTTCTGTGGATAGTGGTCTCTGTCTGACCTAATGGCAGGTTTATAATGTCAATCATATTGAGCAAGTCAGAGGCCATTTCAGACAATGAATTGACTGAGCTATCCAAGAATTGCCATTCTAACTATTTGGGTGCTTTCTCAACATGCACCACAAATTATAGAAGTTTATAAGGCAACATTTTGGTTACATTGCTAATCACCCATCTCATACTATCATGGCAAGATGCTAGCAAAAATGCTGGTGATGATTGTAAAAGACAACCTATAACCAGATTGATTTTTCTATACAGATGCTCTTGTTGTCGTCTCGATTGTTATCCTAGTGGGGTTGTTTAGCATACAGCAGTTTGGTACTAGTAAAGTGGGTGTCACATTTGCTCCTGCACTTGCTTTGTGGTTCTTCTCTCTGGGATCTATTGGAATCTACAATCTTTTTAAGCATGATGTTACTGTTGTACGGGCATTCAATCCAGCTTACATCTATTTGTTCTTCATGAACAATGGTAGCAAGGCATGGTCAGCTCTTGGTGGTTGTGTTTTATGCATTACAGGTATGTCTGGTGCTGCTATACCCCTTTTGCAGCAGTTAATTTGTTTAGAATTTTTGGAATTTCTTGTCTTTTGCAAGTAATAACAGAAAATCAGACATCTTTGGTACATCAGTCTGGGCATTGGTCTGCCTTTCCCCCTTCTATTGATGTGTATAATTACTTGATGTTATTGATCTCTTTGACCTAGTTTTCCTAGGTGTTAAGAATAATAGGGTAGTATGTGTAAATTGTTAATAGTAAGAGGGTGTATGTGTAATTCTTATTATTGTAGGTGAACTATAAATACAAGTGATGTATGAGAGTTAGGTTAAGTTTTTTAACCACTCTCTTTGTCTCTAATATGATGTTAATCCTCCAAACTTAACATGGTATCAGAGCACAAACGATCATAAATATATTAACACTATTGTGGTGTGGTCTTTGTTCATCGTGTAGTCTCGGGTGTGGTCTCTGTTTATCGTCCACTTGCATCGTTCGTGGTGGTGTTGTGGTGTGGTGGCAGTGGTGGTCGTCGCTTGTGGTGTGTGCTGTGTCGAGTAGTACTCTTCGTGGTAGTGGTGTGGTTGTGGTGTGTGGTGGCAGTGGTGGTCGTTGCTTGTGGTGTGTGCAGTGTTGCAGACTAGAGGGTTCTTTTTTGGAACCCTAATTAGCGAAGAAGAAGACATCGGGTCAAGCTGACTTAAATTGTTTTAAGTCCAATCCCGGTCCAACCGCGGTTCATCTTAAACCGGATCACGGTTCAGCAGTCCTGAGGGCCAAACCGATTCGGTTTAGCGGTCCAGAGAGCCTTACTGGTCCGGTTCAGTGGTTCAGCTCAGTTTTATAACCCGGTTCAGTATTCTAGCAAGTAGAAGGGGTCCAGTTCAACGGTCCAGAGAGCCTTGCTAGTCCGGTTCAGTGGTTCTGCCAAGTTTTCCAACCCAGTTCAGCATTCCAGCAACTAGGAGGGGTCCGGTTCAGTGGTCTAACCCACTGTTCTGGTCCAGTTCAGTGGTCTAATCCAATTTTCCAGCCCGGTTCAGTACTCCAGCTGCTTCCTTTCTTCNCTGCCAGGTTTTCCAACCCGGTTCAGCATTCCAGCAACTAGGAGGGGTCCGGTTCAGTGGTCTAACCCACTGTTCTGGTCCAGTTCAGTGGTCTAATCCAATTTTCCAGCCCGGTTCAATTCTCCAATAGCGTTCTTTCCTCCTAGTACTTGCAGCAGCTACTTTGTTTGCTATTTGCTGCACTATTATGGAACCCAAGCAAGATACCAAGTCCCTTACTCCATCTTTGCCTCCTCCGACTCTTATTAATGGTTCCATGACCTCTATCAAACTTAATGGGACTAATTACATTTTATAGTCTCGATCTGTTCAAGTTTTTCTTCGAGACAAAGGATTTAAGAAATATTTGGTGAATCCTAAACCCAAGGAAGACACCCCTGGGTATGATCAGTAGGAACAAGAGGATGTTCAAATTATTTCTTTACTATTGAATAGCATTGAGCCTAATATTAGTTCTGCTCTACTCTACCTTGACACTGCCAAGGAGGTATGGGACCACTTGGCCACTATGTACTCTGGTACAGACAATTTTACCCGAGCTTATGAGGTGGGCAAGGAGTATTTTCGGCTGGAACAGAGTACTTTGAGTATTGAGGATTATTACTCTCACGTTCAGGGAGTTTGTGAGGAGATGAAGATCTATCATCCATTTACTACTGATGCAGTAGTTTGGCAGAAACAACATGAGGATATGAATATTGTTAGGTTTTTGGTAGGTTTGAAACCTGAATATGAGGGTATTCGTTCTCAGATTTTGGGTGGCTCTTCTCTTCCCTCACTACTTGAAATTTTCTCTTGCATACAGCGTGCTACATTGTCTACTTCAGGTATCAATCATGGTGTTTTCACTGATCGCTCAGCTCTTGTGGTTCCTAGTAGCCATAGTGATGGTCATCGAGGTGGTCCAGGTGGTCGAGGAGGTCGTTCGGGAGGTCGTATGGGTGGTCGTAGTGGACCATGTTCCAGTACTCACTGTAGTCGTGGAGGGCATACTGTTGATTTTTGTTGGAATTTACATGGAAAACCTTTTGGCACTGCAAATCAGGTTTCTTATCAGGATGACACCTCTATTGCGACTTCCATACCTCGGTCAGCTCCACCAGATACTGGGTCGGTTACTATTACACGAGAAGAGTATGCTCAGTTCCTGTCCCAGCAACAGGCTGTTCCTTCTCCCTCCACTGCTACTTTTGCCCAATCAGGTATTGCTTCTACCTGTTTATTGTCCTCCACTCGCAGTCCTTAGATCATAGACTTTGGAGCCTCTGACCATATGATTGGTGCGTCTGATTTTTTTCTACTTATCAGTCTGCTACTCCCATACGTAGTGTTATTCTTGCTAATGGTACTTGTTCTCAAGTTTCAGGTTTGGGGACTACTCACTTGAGTCCTGATATGCCCTTATCTTCTGTGTTATTTGTTTCTCAGTTTTCTTTTGGTTTACTTTCCATTAGCAAGATAACCCGTTCTCTCACTTGTTTTGTAACTTTTTATCACTCTTATTGTGTCTTTCAGTATCTCAAGACGAAGAGAAAGATTGGTACGGGGCATGAAGCTGGTAGCTTATATTACCTCGACTTTGATTCACCTATCCGATTATTACAAATCTCATTGTCTTATNTGCCCTTATCTTCTGTGTTATTTGTTTCTCAGTTTTCTTTTGGTTTACTTTCCATTGGCAAGATAACCCGTTCTCTCAATTGTTTTGTAACTTTTTATCCCTCTTATTGTGTCTTTCAGTATCTCAAGACGAAAAGAAAGATTGGTACGGGGCATGAAGCTGGTGGCTTATATTACCTCGACTTTGATTCACCTATCCGGGCATTACAAATCTCGTTGTCTTATTTTCGATGGCATTGTCGTCTTGGACATCCCTCTCTCCAGAATTTGAAGCGCCAAGTTCCNCAAGTTTCCAATCTTAGTTATGTGTCGTCTTTATCTTGTGCAGCTTGTCAACTTAATAAGCATCACCGTGTGTCATTTCAGTCTAGAGTCAATAATTGTGTGTCTAGTCCATTTGAATTAATCCATTTTGATGTATGGGGTCGGANCTTGGACATCCCTCTCTCCAGAATCTGAAGCGCCAAGTTTCCAATCTTAGTTATGTGTCGTCTTTATCTTGTGCAGCTTGTCAACTTAATAAGCATCACCGTGTGTCATTTCAGTCTAGAGTCAATAATTGGGTGTCTAGTCCATTTGAATTAATCCATTCTGATGTATGGGGTCGAATAAAGAATATTTCATCTAATAAATATCCTTTTTTTGTGACATTTGTGCATGACTATTCTCGTGTGACTTAGTTGTTTTTGATGAAAGCTCGGTCTGAATTATTCTCCATATTTGTGACATTTCGTAATGAAATAAAAACTCAGTTTGGTTGTCGTATACGTATTTTACGTTCCGATAATGCTCGGGAATATGAATCTGATTATTTTTCAGCTTATCTTAGTAAAACTGACATTATTCATCAGACTTCTTGTGCTTACACCTCTCCACAAAATAGTGTTGTTGAACGCAAGAACTGTCATTTGTTGAAAGTCACCCGTGCTCTGTTATTCCAGATGAATATTCCTCGATATTATTGGAGTGATGCTGTTCTTACTGCTTGTCATCTTATTAATCGTATGCCATCCTCTGTGTTAAATGGGCAAAGTCCATATTCTGTCATTTTTTCTCGGTAAGCCCTTATTTTCTTTGACTCCTAAGGTTTTTGGTTGTGTCTGTTATGTTCACAATTTGGGTCCTGGGTTTGACAAACTTGACCCTCAAGCTATCAAATGTGTATTTCTTAGTTACTCCCGTACGCAGAAGGGGTATCGTTGCTACAGTCCTTCTCTGTACTGATACTTTACTAGTGCCGATGTCACGTTTGAAGAATCTGTTCCATACTTTCCAGCACCCTCTCAGCCTTTGGGATCTAGACTTTGAATCTGCTCCTGTACCATCATCTCTTTCCTCATCTTCAGATATTCTACTGCCCACCGTGTTACCGTCTACTTTATCTCTCTGTGTCTATTCTCACCGTCCTCGCCCATCAACTGAGGTGCCCGTACCGTCTTCCTTGCCGCCTTCTAATCTTNGGCAAAGTCCATATTCTGTCATTTTTTCTCGGTAAGCCCTTATTTTCTTTGACTCCTAAGGTTTTTGGTTGTGTCTGTTATGTTCACAATTTGGGTCCTGGGTTTGACAAACTTGACCCTCAAGCTATCAAATGTGTATTTCTTAGTTACTCCCGCACGCAGAAGGGGTATCGTTGCTACAGTCCTTCTCTGTACTGATACTTTACTAGTGCCGATGTCACGTTTGAAGAATCTGTTCCATACTTTCCAGCACCCTCTCAGCCTTTGGGATCTAGACTTTGGATCTGCTCCTGTACCATCATCTCTTTCCTCATCTTCAGATATTCTGCTGCCCACTGTGTTACCGTCTACTTTATCTCTCTGTGTCTATTCTCGCCGTCCTCGCCCATCAACTGAGGTGCCCGTACCGTCTTCCTTGCCGCCTTCTAATCTTGGTACATCAGGTAATTTAGATTCTTTACCTATTGCTCTTCGCAAAGGTATTCGTTCATGTGTTACTAATCATCCCATTTCTCATTTTGTTTCATATGATGTCTTGTCTCCTGTCTTCTCCTGTTTTACTTCCCAATTATCTGCTATATCTATTCCTAAGCATTTATAGGATGCATTATCTGATCCGGGTTGGTGAAAAGCTATGAAGGAGAAGATGGATGCTTTACATCATAATGGGACTTGGGATCTCGTTCTTTTACCCTCTGGTAAACGAATTGTTGGTTGTCGTTGGGTGTATACTGTTAAATTTTATCCTGATGGTTCTGTGGAGCGTCTCAAAGCCCGATTTGTTGCAAAGGGGTTTATTCAGACTTATGGTGTTGATTATGAGGAGATTTTTTCTCCTGTTGCCAAAATTTTCTCTGTTCGTATCTTGATTTCT